AAAAGTCCCAGGGGAGGCCGCATGTGAAATTTATGCGAAATTTTTAGTAAATTGCGAAACTTTCAATGAAATTTCTGAAACTTTCACAGGCAATGTTGAAATTTTCGGATTGAAAATTTCATTTGAAATTTTTAAAAATTTCACTTTTGCAACTAAATAAAATATTTCAAGTTTGAAACTTTCAAAGTTGAAATTTTTATTTGAAAATTTCAACTGTCCCAACCCTATCTATAAGTCTGGACCTAAAAAAGATATGAAAAATTTCTCATCTTTCTAGTATAAGTGGTTTTGTAAGTTTTTATCACAAAATATGCTAATTTACCTTCTTTTCCATAAATTATATTAATTCCTAATACCTAAGACACAGTTCAATATTAAAAGAAACATGTTAATTATTACACAAACAATAAATTATTGATGTTTTTATCATCTGGTAGCTGAAATTATATATTTTTTAAATACATTATTCGAGTGTCAATTTCATATGTAAATAAATTATTGTAGGCATGATGTTTTAATTATAACTATGGATATTTCGGTTGTCGATGTTAAAATTATGTTATTAATTAAAATGCAGATTATGTTATATATACGATTTTTTGACATTCCTGCACTGTTGAAAATTTCCAACCTAACCTAGGATTTAGAAAAAGGTTACCTTAATCAAAAACATTTTTTAAATTTTAAAGACGATTATAATACTTAATGAGAATCTTGGGCGAACTAAAATGTAACATTGCTTCTTTAAGGCCTTATTTATGCACAATTTAAATTTAATCTTTTCTCAGACGCGCGATTTTTGTTCATATTGCAATATTTCCGACTTATTCTGATTTTTCCGCGCGCAGTAATCCAGCCGTACTTTGTTCTTAAAGTGGATATAATCCGAAAGAATAACGCAGGGATACCAACATTGTGACATAATGTTGTTATTCACTGCTTAATATCAACACAGTTAAGTCCCTAAGAGTCATTTTCTAAAATCAATTTTAAAGTTTAAAATACAGTTTTGTAAGAAGAAATTAATCATTTGACAGAATATGAATATTATATTTTATTTAGAACTATAAAACTGATTTTTTTAAATATTTTATCAAAATTTTAACTTGTGGACTTGTACTATTCTTAATCTTACAGGTTCAATTAGTTACTTCTTATATTAATGTGAAAAATTCGTACTATTATTGAGTTTTTAAGTCAAAAATAACTAATTATAAGTCATATTTGACTAATTGTCATAGCGAAAAAGCAGTCACTAATAATTAGTCAAATTCTACTGAATGAAGTAGTCAAATTAGTAGATTTAAATTTAAAAAAAGTTTTAACCCAGCGGAGGATTGAACTCAGGTCTGTCACTTGTCAAGCTGTTGTCATAACCCATTCGGCTATCAGCCGCTCTTATAAATATCAATTTTATTTGTCAATAAATATTGTTCATAATATTTTAAAGTTGAATATATTATTTGTGTTGCTGTTTTGAGTTAAACTTTTTGCATCTTTATTTGTTTTTATGGGTCATTTAACCTTAGAGCTTAGGAATATGCATTTAATTCACATAATACTTTGTTGTTGGCTGAAAACGATTAAAGAAATTAGTTACTTTTAACTCTCAGAAATAGTCAAAGATGGAGACTAATCTTAAATTAGTCGAACTTTAACTATTTAGGTACGTAGTAAAAAATAACTATTTAAAAGTGACAACGACTATTTTATTAGGAAAAAATGCTGGTATTAGCTCAAATAGTAGAATTTTGACTATTTCATTTTTAGAGAGCATGTATATACAAATATAGTCGCGGCCAAATGTAAAGTACTTACAGACATTTTATTTTATCTTGTAAACAAAAAGGAACAAAACCTGACAAAACATGTTTTATTTTTATTCTAGATAATGTGAATAGCAATTTTCTTGTGTAGCAGTACCCAGATTATTAAGGTGTCAATATTAAAATGTTTTCTATAACAACGTACATCACGTTTACCTATAGGAATTATTAGAGCAGCAATATATCGATAAATAACAAAAAAGTACCGAGTACAGTAACAACAAGTTGAAGTGTAAAGGTACTGAAATAGACAAGGCTATACATAAAGAAAAATAGAGATGTAAGACTTTTTGGATTGATTTAAATACAAAGTTTCTGATTTGGGGATTTGGGGGCTCGGGAGGTCGGCCCCCAAGCGTACCTACGTAGAATTAAGATTGCGTGCACCTAACTGCAAGTATCATTATCCTAATTATTTCACCAGAGACCAACGCACCAAACGGTTGCATGTCTTTTTGTGTACACCCTCTTACGTATTGTATCCCAAATACCGATGGCGCTTTCTTCCATTTCAGAAGTCTTTTTTTTTCTCGGCGTGGCATGTCACTAATTTCCACCCAATAATTGTTATATTGCAATGTAATATTTGCTCTGCGTGACGCTTAACAGATGAATACTCCACAATTATCGGATTCGAGAATATGTTTGTCTTTTCACCTATTAAATTATTTCTTTTATTTATAAAACACATTGCCATTTTTTTCTTACAAGTATGTCCAGCATGTTTTTTTACTGACCTGCACATCCCTTGGACTTGGACCACAATAGATATCCATTGTTTAACACCTTCAGTATTAGTGCCAGTTCACAAATACGTTGTTTGTTCAAGGTACTTATCGGGATAATAAAAAATAATTTTTCCAGAAATTATGCAACCCATTCACAATCACTTAATGCTTGTCAGTTCGAATCTGTCGAAAGGACTTGTACCTCTATCTTGATTATATAATTTAATATCCATATCAGTACTTTTATATGCAGGCTAAAGTCTGGTAAAAAGTCTTGTACCCATATAAAATAAACATTCCGAAGATCCTATCGCCTCTGTCGTGTTATAAGCCAGCAGAAACGATAAAGCAGAAAAGTAAATTCCTTCAACTTATTGACACTTTTATTTAATTATTAAAACTCATTTCGTGTACCAAACGACAATTAACTGTGGTTTGTGAATGAAGAGATTTTTTTTAAATTCTTTGACATTTGCTATTTGATTTAGTCTTCCACAATGTTTATAAATTGCTCAAACTTTTCTATTGATTTTTTATATTAAAATTAGGTTTTTCTCATGTTCTAATAATTTTCATAGAATAAATTAGAACCTCCACCCAACAAAATCTAAGATCATGAGATAAAAAAACCCATGTTTTCCTGTTATCAACATCTTAATTTCGAACAATTTTAAAAACACCTGGGCTTATTATTAAAGTACTTAAATAGTTCGGAGCATCGAGAACCGTGCAGACGTTTTTTATAATGAGAGGAATTGCGGAAGCCGAAGACTATAGTCTATATATATCTATAGATATGGAATAATTTCAGTGGAAAAGTAGAAATAATATTTCCTGTAGGGGCAGACCGCTTATTATTATTTATATACCTACTTACCTACCTCTCCTCACAGATAAAGAGCACAGGAGAAGAAGAAGAGGTTCGTAAACCCAATGAGTGTGAAGTTACCCGCTTACAGGGTCGTATTTTACTAGATTTACGAGATAACTTGGATCTATTTGCATGAAAATTTGGTTTTTTGTTCCTTCTGTTTCTTTTCTAGTTTTATCTGCAGTTTCTTATCTAGTTTCTTCTTAATTTTTTTCTTCAATTTTATTTATTTATTTATTTTACTCTGTTTGTGCCAAACACCTAGGTATTTAAAGTCATACTCTAATCCCAAAATCAAATTCAAATTTTAAAATTTTATAGGTACCTACATATTTAAATACGGCTGTCAACAAATATTCTCAGCACAAATTAACTTATGAGTAATTTTCTCATGCCTAATGACTGCCGAGATCGTAACTTTTGGTTAAACGATCTGAAGCATGAATTCGTTGGCATTCATCAAAACAATTTTTTTATGATGGCGTGCAAATAGAAACAGGAAACCTCGTATATAATTTTGTTACCAATTGTCTGCATTGCGAGGAACAATGCAAATTCCGAAATAACGCCAATTACATATTCAGAATAGTCGACTCGAAAAAAGTTTATTTCTTTTTAATTACCTGCGCGCACTTAAAGAACATCCTAGAGCTGGATAGTTTCGTGGCTAATGTGAAATAAATTATATTTAAAAAATTATATATCTCCGGGTATAATTAAGTATAAAACAACATCAATTTTTGTAGGTATCTACAAGAATCTCGCAACAAGTGTTATAAAAAGTTAGGTAACTACTATTTTTTATTTCCGTTAATATTGTTGTAATTTACACACAATTATTATATTTATCATACTATAATCCACAAACAAAACCTACCTTTCACTGCATGAAGCCCCAAACTTTCGTTGGCCAGTGTAAACATCAAAAAAAGATCCATTTTTATCCAAAATCTGTTGAATTCACTTGTGCAAATATATTAATATATTTGCACAAGTGAAGTCGAAATTTCGACTTATAGTAGGTACCTATATAATAATTATATGCTATAAGTAACAAAACAATGAACAAATGACGTTTTTGACATTCTCAAAATGACAGAACGTAAGAAAACGAAAATTAGCATCTTATAAAAGCCTTCCAAGATAAAAGCAATACTCTTGAAGTACTAGTACTTCATGGCAATAAGTACCTACCTAATATTAATAATTTAAACACTTTACACAATTTGTCTTTGCACAAAACCATGCCTTCTTTAACGATTTTAAAAAATATTGACAATTAACAATTTGACAGAATGACATGCAGTGTTGCCGGCTTGTTAGACAAAGTGATATTAGGCAACAAGTTATCCATAATCTGCAATTTTCCAATCAACAAAAGACGATATAATATAAAAATCTACGATATAATATAAAAATCGCATTGATCAGCGTTAAAATTGCCGAGGAAGAATTAATATTTTTACCCATTAACAATTATTGTTTTTAAGTTTGAAAACGGTTCTTCTCAAGAAAAAGGCTGAATAGCGTAACTTCCCAGGAACAGTACAAAGGCAATAAAACAAAGAAATTGTTTTTAAAAGTTTATTAATCCTATATAAAAATGTAAATTAAAATTTTAATGGGACATTTGGCCAATGAGGCGCCTTCAAATTTTCGCTGTGCCTCTCGAAATTAAGTTGCATTGCAGTCTCCATTCCCATGATTTTAGCGTAGTTTTCACCGTAAATTTTTTTCATCTCCAACTCGCGTTTTTTGCCTTCAGGTTCCTTAGGAATCACTTTTTCGGCCTCCTTCTCGACTTCTACTGCACTAAACTCTTCTTTATTGCCATAATCTTCAATTTGCGTGACATACATGTGCTTTAAATGATGATAAAGCATTCGATTTTCGTACTCCAAACTTATGGCGCGCGATTTCCAATACGCGATTTGTTCTTTTTTGTGCCAGTCGGCGACATCTTGCGGCAAACCGACTTGACTAACAGGCGGGCACTCCATGTCGGTAATATCGAACACTGCAATCGACTCGCATAAACTGTCGGTGTTTCGTTTGTATCTGTGCAATTTTAATGAATTGTAGTACCTGATTTTGCTTCTCTTTCTGCGAAGACTTCGGTAATTTCGTTTTCTAGTTGTTTTGCACTTAAACTGTTGCGTTTTTCGGTTGTTTACTGTATCACAACGTGATTGTCTTTGCATCTTCGCTGTCAACCATGATTGTTTTGGGCGGGGTTGCCAAATGTCACCAGCGAAATGTCCCCAAAATCAATGATCATAGTTTGTTATAAAATATCCTTTCATCCAGAATAGTTTAGGATGCCGTATTATTGATTTTTTGTTCGTTTAAATATTAACATTAAAAATACGATATACTGGTGTTTTATCAAAAACATTTTTATAAAACATAAAAACTTGAATTGGCAACAAAGCAATTTTCAAAACCACCTACCTACTTGATTTTGAAGATTTATTAAATCAAGTAATTTCTGGAATTCCGAAGGATTTAACTTATTTTAATCGGTGCTTAGCAATCTAATTGCTTAAATTATGCATGAGGAAAATTACAAATTGTAATGAGAAGTCGTAGTGAAATAAAAATAATTTGCCTATTTAAGCAGCATTAATGTAAATTCGTGTTAATTAACCTATTTGAGTGGATCTGTATTGTAGAGGAGAAACGAGTTTTGCTATTGCCGTATGCACATAAGATTAAATAAATAAATATTAAATTAAATTTATGTGAGCAGTCGTGGCCGAGCGGTTAAGGCGTCTGACTAGAAATCAGATTCCCTCTGGGAGCGTAGGTTCGAATCCTACCGACTGCGGCGATTTTTTTTCGTTTGATAGTCGTAATTTTTAGCGTTGTAGTTTTTTTAATATCTTAATTAAGGAAATGAAGAAGAATAAAGAGATTTAAGGAGATATTTTGCAATTATAATGGCGTCTATAAGAAATGGTTTTTTCCTTATTATTTTAATTAAAAGCTTCCTGTTTCTCCAATATTGTACTTAAGTGGAAATTTACTTATATTTTATTACCTATGTATTTTAGGTATAAATATTTCACAAACATTTATTATTAGGTTTAAGTTTTGATTTCACACAAACTGTAGAAAAATACATCTGTCAACCATGTCAACCATCAGCTGCCTTGTTTGATTTTTTTTAATAAATGGGATTAGTAACATTTCAGCTTATTAGACACACTGCGTTGCCATATTTCTTTTTACTCATCAGAAAAATTGATGTATGCACAATCCACACAATGGATTGTGGTTGTAGGTATATTTTTGATAAAAAAATAAAATATCAATAACGTTCTTGTTGTTTTTAATTTAAACTTTTAAAATACCCAAAATTATAAACATTATATTTACCATTAAATTTAACCGCGAAGACTAGAGACAGAAGTACAAACTTTGTCACAAAATACGTTGGCCAAGAACAAATCAAACTGCAATGCGCAAAAACCCAATCTGATTAGAACCAATCACAATTAAGTATGACGTATGACGTTTTTTATGTGTTTCAAATTAAATCGTCCATGGCGCACTAAGATAGATACTTCATCATTACAGATGCTTTTTGCATCACCTGTCTATAGTCTTCGTATTTTAACAAAAAAATGGAGTTATTTTTTAGATAAATTTTGGTTTAATTTAACTTTTGATATAACTTTTGGGTAAATTGGTAATTCGCGATTTTAGTTTTTGTCCATTTTAACAACAAAAGACGCCATTAATTGTTATTAGAAAAATGAGCACAGAGCACGTTATTTGTGTTTTACGTTGCAAGGAAAAAATTAAAAAACTTTTTTAGTACCTACTCAATTTAGATTGATTATTCCTTATATCATTGATTAAGAAACTCAACGCTTAAATGCTTATATAGTTACGTTAGTGTGTGTATTTTTCTAAGGGATCATGGTGAATTATTGTGTTTTTAATTGTAAATAAAATTCAAGAACTAAATCGTTGCATTTTCATGTTTTGCCAAAGGATCCAATTCGTTAAGTGCATTTGCTGGTGCAGAATTAACTAATGATAACTTTACCCAATATTATTTATATTTAGGTTTGGACATTTTTGCAAAAACATAACCTTAAAATCAACCAGTTTTATATTTGAGTTCTCTAAAAAACGCCGACAACTGCATTTTAAACAACAAAATATACCTACGAATTCATGGCAACATAATATACATAATATAATTTACCGTTGAGTGGAGACTTTCTTAATCAACGCTTTTAATAATGCTAAATGCTGTTTAAATTTAGACAATTTTTACTGAATTGAAATGTTTACACTTTTCACGTTAATCACTACTAAAATGTGTATTTATTGTATCTAAAAGGTACAATTTATATTTACAGACTGTATGCAATTAATTTCTTCATTCAGATTAACACTGTTTCTTGTAAAACCGGTAAAAAGTCAGGATTTCCTCTCGAAATACACCCAACAACACAACAAATCGAGCAACGGTTTTTTTTTCAGATATTTTTTAACATTCTCCGGCTTTATTCTCATTAACACTCGTTAATAACTAACTAATCATATAAATGTGAGGCACGCACAATAATATTAATAAAACAAACGGTAAACTGTAAATAAGTTTATTTATTTAAATTATAAATAAAGTAAATGCAGATGATGATTAAAAACTCGGTGAGTTAAAGCGACTTCGAAAATAGTGGGGTTAACAATCAAAAAAATAATACCATGGATTAATGTAATGTAAAAAGTTCTAAGTTACATGCCACTATCACCGGGTGATCTGACATCGTCGATTTTCAAAATCATTTTCACTAATTGCGTGGCTAATAGGAGTTGTTGTCTTTTTGATCTCAGAGATTCGATAACATGCTGATCTCTCATGTTCAAGTTTCCTGTGTTCATGCAGTCGATACCTAAGGCCGGGTCTCCAGTGGAAGCTTGTTTGGACTGAAAGATACACACAATACAACACGTTTTCAAAAAACGTTCAATTTGTTTTACCTTAACTTCTCCCAAGAAGTGGACGGCTGACAGTCCACTGTTATCGGCCAGAGCCAACGGGATGGCTTCCAAAGCTTCAGCGAAGGCCCTGAACGCGTATTGCTCCAGAGAAGCCAGCTGATCAGCTTCGGCAGCCACGGCCAAGCTGCAAGCGATTTCCGCCGCGCCCCCGCCGTAAACAACCCTCGGTTCCTAATACACAACAAATTAGCACCGCTTGTTCGACTTCAAACGCGGTCCGTTCCTACCCCTAACCCGCACAAGCCATTCAGTTGGCTTATGGGACTTCTTAAGAAGTAAGGGTGGAACTAAAAGAGAAAAAAAAAAAACCCCAAACGTCACTCACCAGAACCAGGCTCCTGACGACGCACAGGGCGTCGTGCAGAGACCTCTTGGCCTCGGCCACCAGCATCTGGTTGCCGCCGCGCACCAGGATGGTGACGGCGCGAGAGTTGGAGCAGTCCTCGATCACCAGCATCTTGTCTTTGGTGGTGCCGAAGGCCAGCTCGCGCACGAGCCCCGCCGAACCGAGCTTGTCGGGGGTGAGCTCCTCGAAGCGCGGGACGATCCTGCCGCCCGTCGCTATGGCGATCAGCTCGATCTCCGGACCGCCGACCTAAAGATTTTTTTTTTATTCTCCCCTCTAATACTACCTTTGAAAATTTTAACAAGGATGAATTCGAAGATCTATAAGGGATCGATAACACAGGCCAACAATTAGTAAAGTACCTTGTAGATTACAAGGTACCAATTATAATTATAAAATATTATTTAAAGAGATTAATAATTATTAATCTATTTAAATAATATTTTGTTTTGACAAGTTGAAGTAATTTAATTACTAGAAGGTACGTTAGTACCTTAAAGACCGTATATAAATCGTCATGTGGAGAATACACGTATTGGTGTTGGCTTGGTGATCAGGATAAAACCTGGGCACCGCATCAGGTCTGCAAAACTTGTACAGAACATTTACGACATTTACCGAAAAAAGGGACCTCAAAAAAAGGAACCTCAAGACTGCTATTTCTGCCTAGTAAATATTATTGAAATCAATCGGTGGACTTCTGCTAAATTAAATTCTGCAAGACGCCCGGTCCCTCACAACAACTACCAGAACTCTGAGTATTGTCCCTCTGATCACCAGTGAGGACTGATACTCATGAAAGTGACAGTGATCATGAGGGGATTTCATTAATTCCGCAACGTTTCAAACAGAATAATTCGAATGACTTGCTTCCAGATTAAAAGAAGACAATCTTGTATTTTGTCACGATATTAGAAGAATATAACACCATAGCTTTGGTCTTGGAGATAAAGTATCAAGATCATCAATGGGTGATTTGTGTGGACTTAAAAACGGTAAACTTTCTACTTGGACAGCAAAGTGGCTACAACAAATAACCTTGCTTCTTGTGCCTTTGGGATAACAGATACCAAACACGCTACTGGGTTGGAAAAGAGTGGCCCAAGAGAGAACACATGGACGTTGGAGAAAAATGCCATTAACGACCCTTTAGTCGAACGAAAAAAATCATCTTTCCTCCACTGCATATCAAGCTAGGTCTTATACAGCAGTTCCTAAAGGCTCTTGATAAGAGCGGATTATGCTTTGCATGAGCGAAAAGCCTGGACTTTTGTTGCAGTTGTCGCATATTTTTTTGGAAAACGCAAAGCTGGAAACTTTATTGAACTGGTAAAATCCCTTGGATGGAACATAGCCACATGTTTTCCGACAATTTAGGAGACAAGTGAAGAACAAAATGAGAGATATTAAAACTATGGAGGACCGCTACAAAGGAAGATGGGATCAGCACATGATGGAGTTAAAATGGACTGTTTTTTTAAGTTAAAGATTGTCTTACCCATCTGACAGCTGGTAAACCTTGCGAGTACAGTAAATGATTGGCTTCATCATCAAAGCCCCATTGACAAATGGCCAAATTTGCGCCAGCCTTCTTGACCAAATCAACCTAGAAAGAAAATTGTTGTTGTTTACAATAAAAATGTAAAAATGCATATTCTCGTTTATTTACCATTTCCTTGAATTTGTCCTGCTCGTACTGGCGCAACTCCTTGAACTCCTCCACGCTGGTGACGTCCAACTTGTGCTTGGTCTTGGGTTTCGGGGGCTCGAACGGGCAGGTCAAGATGGCCATTTTGACGTTCTTCAACTCTTTGGGCATCTGCGAGTGCGACATGGTCTTGTCGATCACCACGCCTCTGACGAGGACGGTGTCTTCCAGCCGACCGCCCACCTTGCCCTCGACTTTGATCAGCTCGAAGTTGACGTCTTTCTGTTCCAAGTCGGCGACGGCCAGCACCGCGTTCACGGCGATCTCGGCCATCTGCCTGTGGCACTTGTTGATGATTTTCGAGCCCAACGTGGTCATCGCCACTTTCACCAGCGGCTCGATGTTGTCCTGCGATACGGGGAACAACTCGGCGATCTTGTCCAGGTGCTTGACGGCCACCTGGCAGGCCAACTCGAACCCGTCCGCGATCCTGATCGGGTGGATGCCTCGGTCGACTAGAGCGCCGGCTTGCTCCAAAAGGGCTCCGGCCAAAACGACCACGCCGGTGGTGCCGTCGCCGATTTCGTCGTCCTGCGATTGCGACAGCTGGACGAGAAGTTTGCCCACTTCGTGTTCGACGTCCATCATTTTTAGGATTGTGGCGCCGTCGTTGGTAACCGTTACGTCGCCTAATATTAAGAATATCGGTGAAAAATTACGCAATACACCATTTGTCTATAGATGTAAAAGTATGCAATAAAAACCGTTTAAATAATCGCCACAATACGCTAAAGAACCAAAGCGCATTCTCGTACGGGGATCTATAAATGGCACTATGATTATCGTATTGTTCATCTCTTACGGGAGAAAGGAGAGAAGGAAGGAAGTAGAGATGCGACTTGAAAAAAAACGGTCCGTTTTTTTTTCAGGTTTTTTTTCATTGTTTTTTTTCAAATGGTTTTTTTTCACATTTTAGGTTTTTTTAAGATTAGTCTTGCCTAATTTTTTAAGTTTCCAGTCCAGTTCATGGACTAAAATTATCTACTAAATGACATTTAGTAAATGTAAATACAGTCTCACGCTTTGCAAGCGCCACCACCACCGAATTGACCAATAAGGGCCGCGCTTGTTTTGATTTGGTCCTAAAAAAAGTAACTACCTACCAAAAAGCTACCAAAAGCACTTTTTTTCATGATTTTTCAAATTCATGTCGAGTATGGAAAAAATTTTTTTTTTTCAAAAAAACAATAGCAAATTTTTGTACAACATTTATTCATTGGTGGTTTAGTCAGAACATTCCGTGGACCAAAAAATTTCGAACTTTTTTATTACGGTATTCGTTAGGATTAAGCGTTGAACGTTTTTCATCTAAAAATTAGAAACTTCAAGCTTCAAATTGCTTTTTTACGGCTCCAAATACGACCATTTTTAACGAAGATACAGCTAGGTATCCGAAAAATCGCAAAAAATTTGGAATTTTTTTAATCCTTTAATTTTTCTATTAGGGTAGAAGTTTTACATTGCTATTGGTTTCTTATGTGAAAACTACCAAATAAGAAATCAGATTTTTTAGTCTGTCAAAATTTTCAATAATGAAAAATGTAATATATTCTACATTTCCCTTTATTATTAATATACATTTTACCCAAAATTTCATTTTGGGAAATTACTCCATTTTTTAAGATTTATTTTATTTATTGACAGAATATGCTTTATTGTAGCGGATTTGAAAAAAACAAAAAAAAACCGTTTTTTTACATCTCTAGAAGGAAGGCAATCTATAAGTTAGGCAAGCAGTGTTGCCAGGTCTACTGTTTTTGCAGTGAATCTACTGTTTTGGGACTTCGCTACTGTTCTACTGTGAAAGGATTATAATCTACTGTTTTATTCACAATTTGGTTAAATAAATTTGGTCAAAAGACAATAAAAAACACAAGTAAAAGAATGTGGGGATGGGATTCACTGAATGCAGCTGTTTTTAGTTGTTGGCAGTGCTCAGAACAATTTGCTCTTAAAACACAGCCTGTGCTTGAAAGTTAATTGTAGTTTGTATACAAATTATATTATATTATCATATGCAGGATGTCTCAAAAGTCAAGGACAGCAGAAAAGGGGTGGATAGATATTCTAAATCGAATAGTCTGCCGTTTTTGATCAGACCAATCATTAATTAATTATCAATAAAATGAAGTAGTCAATCACAGGTGTGCTCTATCAGAATGATTAGAGATGGGACAAAACAAACTTTTGTAAAAATTCCATAGCTATGAACGTATATTGTGAAATTACCTTAATTTTATTTATTCTAATAACTAAGTAATGAAGTATGTATTTTAAAATTTTTTATATTTATAGACTATACTATACTATACTAGACTATAAATTATACTACAATTCCAAACATATTTCAGACTATACTTTTTCTACATGTATTAAATAATTACTTACAAAATAAATAAATAAGCATTAGGATAAAGTGACAGAAACTGTCAGATTTTTTTAACCTCACTTTATCCTACAACTGTTCTTAGTTTGCAAATACCTGATTGGTCCAAATTATTCTCACACAAAACCTGTGCTGGAATATTCATTCTTTACAACCTTTATGGAATGTAGTTAATTTCACATTAAAAACTGATATTCGAACGTCATATTCCGCAATAAGCTTAGAAAAAAATATTCTTTATATTTATGGTTTCATAAAATATCCGGGTTTTTTTTCATGAAAATCTACTCTTGACCAAAAATTTGATCTGGCAACACAGGTTGCAAGTAAAAACTAAATGCTTATTTACATTAGTGTGGTCGTTTATCTAAGTGATCATAATTATATTTTAGGAATATTCATGTATAAAAGAATTCTTTTTCTGCCTGGTCTATAATTTACTATTTTTGTATTAAGGCGTTACAATTTTATACTATTTTCGTATAATTTGAGTAAAATAACTCACCAATCACAATGATCTGATTAGTTTAACAAAAAGTCTCATATCTCAATTGATTTTCTGAATTTAAAAAATTGGTATAGGAAATCTTCCTATATTGTCTCAAGGACTTTGTGGTTAAAATATTTTAAATTAAAAATTGTATAGTTAAAAGCTAAAACAATTGCAAAGAAAATCAAAAAATAATAAAATAAATGTTAAATAAAAGAAATATTTTCAATTTTTGAGTTTGTATTTCTAAATTATACCTATTAAGTTGAAATGTGAACTTTTTTCAACAATGGGTATATGTACAGCTGTCCTTAAGACAGTATGCTGTTCAGAAAAAATATCAGCACAATCAAAACATGCTCATTTTTATTGTTTTTAACATTTTTGTTTAACAGGGCAGCTGCACTTATACCCCTTTTATTCCAAGGCCCTCAATTGTGTATATTTTAATTTTTAAAACTTACCATCGGGGGAAACCATCATTTTATCCAACCCTTTGGGTCCCAAAGAGGTGCTAATTATATTAGCAATTTGTCTTGCTGCCATAATGTGTGACTAAAATAAAGAAAACGCAATTTAATTTTGAAGGTTACAAAAATCAAAGAAAAATATTGATTTTGACCATTAAAAGATGCTAATGTAAGGATTTTGTACTGTAAGATACTATTTGTAGATATTTAGATAGCATAATGTGTTTATTAAAAGAATTATGGACATTTTTAAAATCATATTGTTCTAGAATGGTCCATTCAAAATACCGATTTTAAATTATGTACAGTATATAATTGCAACTTTTGATTACAGTTTAGGTCTTATAATACAATGTTAGGTATATTAATAGTAGAATATTGAATGATTGAATAGTTTTTTTCTTATTTCTTTAACCATTTGTCCTGTAACTATCTGTCAAAAAACCTACATAACCTACCTTGAGAGCATCGATTCCTGTCAGCCTTTTTTGAGTGGCTTGGTCGCGCAAAATGATGAAAGGTCTGCCATATTCATCGAAGGCAATGCTGCCCGGAAAGCCTGACATATTTATTTCTTTAAATTAACTCGAAAATGGGCCGATGATCGAAGATTTAAATTCACACACAAAAGACCAACCCAAAAAACCGGCCACAACAAAAGAACAGCGCATGCGTCGCGAAGCATTAGTCATCTGATTCGGGGCGTTTGAACTACTGACACATGAAATGGAAAAATCGAAAAACAACGAAAAGACTTATCACACACAATAGGAATTAAAAAATGTAACACAAAATATCAAAAACTGTATCATACTTTCTTTATTTGATTGGAAAATGTGTTATAATAATATTAATAATAATAGGATATAATCTGGTGACATTTTTATGTTGGTAGTTCTGCCATCTGTCAATCCTTTCTTGTAATTTTTTGACAGTAGCGTGTTTCACCAGTTTTTCTTGTATATTTAATAGGAAATTATGGCTGAAGCTATGAAACAAACTGTGGCAACGATGCTGAAAGGCATTGAAAGGTATTTTGTCCCTTTTTAGGGTTTATATTTAAGTTTAAAACTGTACTTAACCTATATTTATTTTAGGTACAATCCAGACAATCTGCCGACTTTGGAGAGATACGTTGAAATTCAGTCCAGGGAGAATGCGTATGATTTGGAAGCTAACTTGGCAGTATTAAAGTTGTATCAGTTTAATGCTCACAGTTTTAATGCTGATATTTGTGGACAAATTTTACTTAAAGCTCTTACGAATTTGCCACATACTGATTTTATCCTCTGCAAGTGTTTAATGAGCGAAAGACAAGTATAAATTTAACAATGCAAAGGTAAACATTATTTAATATATTTATTGTAGTTGCAACAAGAACCTATCAACCAAATCATCTATTTGGCTGACATTTTGGAACAATGTGATTTCCTTATGTTCTGGACGAGAATTCACTCTCTACCTGAACTAACCCAACGTATTACCGGATTTTTGGACTCCATTAGGAAGTTTGTGTGCCACGTGGTTGGCATTACTTACCAATCGATCGGCAGGGGTAAATTGGCAGAACTTCTTGGGGATGTTGACGACAGCACTTTAAAACACTGGATCAAGAAATACGGATGGAAGGAAGAAAGCAACCTGGTCTTTATTGCCAATCAAGACGAGAACATTAAAACTAAAAATATCAACGAGAAAATTGATTTTGAAAGTGTGGGGGCTATTATGGCCTCTTGCAGATAAGTAATTTTTTTTAATAAAGATTTTTGTTTAAAACTGCGATTTTGAACCCTTCACGTTTCCTTGAGTTTTTAGGAATATTTTTGTTGATTTTAAATGATTTTTGTGCTATAATTTAAACCTTAAAATTATTTCTTATTTATTATTTTTGCCATTAACTAAGGTTTTATACAATTATATATAAATGTAAATGTATGAAAAATCATAATTGAAAGCAAAAGTAAGTTAAAACATTTATTTATTTACAAAACTTTAATACAAAATAATACTATAAAATCTTAATCAGGTAACAGTTACATATTTTCTTGTTACAAGAAATGAAAATATTGAAATTGAATCTCAATAAAAATAAAATAATCTCACTGATATAAAATATAAACCCCTTTAAGGGTCAAATTGTGTAAAACAGACTACAGTACAATTTCCAAAACTTTCATGTTGCAAATTTTCTTTACCTCAGTCATTGACAAAATAATTTCTTTCTCTTTGCTGTTGGCAACCCTCCTTTCTAGCTCTGAGAAAATCTCGAAAAAGTTGAGTTTCTTAAAGGTGATGAAGGGGAATCCAAATTTTTTTATGTACATCCTGTTGAGTTCTTTGAGCTTGAGTTTCTCCTCGACCGATGGTCTGTTAGTTTCGCTGTAACCGTGAATGTTGACTTCGTATTCCAGCAAAAGTCTGCTTAGGTCTGTCAGTTTGCAAACCATGTCTGGATGGGCTTGCAATATTTTTTCCTTGTCTGTAAAGAAAACAAGATATGTTAAATGGGTTGGTTATACATTAGAGAGAGTTGTTAATGAAATGAGGTAAAAAAATAACTTACCGGAGCATTTCAATGAATCCAGGTACTCGTTTATAGCGAACTGGATGTCTTTGGAGTTACTGAACGGTCTGTACTTTAAAATCCCAATGGCTGCCGAGGTTGAGTGTTCGACGACATTCCCGAATATTTTAATAAAGTGTTCACTAATCAAATTGTTAACTTCTTCAATTGATAATAATTTTGTGATCATTTTGTGTGTTGTGCGTTTGATTCGATACTGAACAAAACGAACGGTTGTAGTTGTATATATGCTCCCACGTTGACCTTTCTATTGATAACTTTATTGCACTTTTTTGTTTGCTTGTTTTCCTGAAGATTAAATGTTAATTACAATAAAAGTATTAATTGCTTCAAAATATTTATTATTACCTGTAAATTATCAACGTTTCAGGTACAAAAATGAACAATTTATATCTCCTATATTATAATACAGGGATAAAAAACTTTAAATGTATAAACAAATCCTGGTAATTTTTATGTTGAAACGTTATCGCAAAAAACTTACACTTATTTTTAAAACTTTATTCATACACTTTGTTTTTCCCAATGCTTATAAAAAAAAGTAAAAATAAAAACTCGATTATCGGACAAATTGTAAAAATACGCAACATACTAATTTTATTTTAAGTTTGGCGAACCGGTCAATAACAATAATGGATTAAAATTATTATGTATAAACAAAACAATTAAAAGTTATTTTGCGCAAATATATTTTGGCTAATGTCATATCGATAAGTTTTGTTTTGATTGTTTCAAATTACGTGTAAATATTTTGATTAACAGTATTTTATCCGAAATCGGCAGTAAAGTAGTCAACAATCGGCAGTAAAGTAGAACTTTACTGCCGATTTAATACGAATATTGTATGCAACCCATTATACATTGGACCCTTTAAAAAAATGTTGTTTAATAAAAATAATAAGTTAATTTTATTAATTAGATTAAAAAATCGCCGCGGCGGGAAAATATATAATAACCGTCGCAACAAACAGTATACGTAGACACTTCCTACATTCAAATGACATTTGATTTAATCATATATTATATCACGAGAACTATGAATTTAATTTATTTAAATTTAATTAATTTAATAAAATCACGAGACCGCGTAGCGGTCGAGGGGTTTTATTTTTAATTATTTTGCATGAAACTATTTTCCAAAAAGAAAAATCAAATAAAAAACTTACTGAGCATAGTTTGACAGATTAAATTTATAGGTTGAGTGATATACGTCTAGATTATTTCTCGAAGTAAAGGAAACTATTTGACCATTCCTAAAATCTGACGTATGTGTCAAAGTTTATAAATATTTTTTTAAAGAAAATTCCATTAATTTAAGGTATGTAATAAGTAATTATTGATATTTCGTAAACTAGATAACTTATTTTTTATTGTTTTTTAAAAAATGTTTGTTAAAACTTGTAAATAACACCATAAAATCGTAAACAAAAATCCAATATGGAGAAAATTTAATCGCTGTTAAATAGTTCTAGTGATTTAATCGCTTATTTAAACGAAATTTATTCGAAAATTCAAGGCTTTTGATTGGTTCATATTATAATGAGGGAAATAATCAACAATATTAATTATTAGCATTATTAAATGTGATTTCGGATAAAATTTAATATGCACCTCGGCATTAAAGTCATTTTTTATCACTCACGTGGTTATTTGCCTCGGAAAATAATTTCCACATTCGTGATAAAAAATACTGCCTTGATACATAAATAACTATTTTAACGTTTTTTATATTGAGAAAGTCAGGACAATATGAGACTGATTTTTTTGTAAATATGTTATAAATTAGTTAGGGTAAAAAAATCAACTTGGGAAATATGGACACCCTAATAGACACGTCTTTATTATTACTAATTTATCCTATTTTTTTTATATGAAATTTTGATTATGACGTTTAAAATTAATTTAAAAAATATCATAGAAAATCGAATATTCCATACATAAGCAATAACAAAGGTCATGGATTTCTTTATTTTAGTAAGTAGGTAAGTAAAATATAAAAATATATTCTTCATGAAGAAGATATTTATTTTCTATTTTAAACCATTTGCAATAAAATATAAAGATAAAACTAATTGAAGTATAGTAAAAATAATATGAATTTCTCTTAAGAAATCGAATGCGTTTTATTTACACATTTGTTGTTATTGTGTCACATATATGCCGATCATCTACGTGAATCATGGATAAAGCATGATCGAGACATTAACTATTTAAAAATAAATCAGTAGATATCAAGCACTTTCTAGAATTGACGTATATTTAAATGGCGTATGCCTTGGGATGAATTTTTACCTACATTAGTTATTTTAAAACCTAAGCTATCTTGAATGAACATTTTTGGTAAAAATATTAAAATTTTATTTAAATGTATAAGAACAGAAACAGTGACGACTGATTGCAGTTAAAAAATACATTTACTTCTTGGAAACAAACAAGTTTACAAAGTCTATTTAAATTTCAATTTTTATTTCCACTATCTGGCGCCAATTGCCAGCATACTGTCGACTGTCTTAAGTTTACTTTCTATATGTTAAATATCTTATTATATACTATACCAGGGCTAATCAACATTGCAATTATGGAAAGAAAAGTCCGAAACAAAATTTTTAAAAATCCTTTCAAAAGAAATAAATTGAGAATCCCTCAATTGTTCATCAAAGCCTAATTTTTTTAAGAACACGCGTTTTGAGTGGCCTCCGCGATCTCCAGACCTCAGTATGTGAGATTTTTTTGCATCGTCCAATTTAAAAATGACACATGCAACGTTTTGTATTTTTTTCATTGATTAATAACTCCTTCACTCAACGCTTGTATATCATATACCCCTGTATACTTATATTTATTCTTACATTATCTTTGTTGTAATAACACACTTGTAAGGTCCTATAAACAAGTTTAATTTTATAAAATGCGTTTTCTTATGGAAAATTTTGACAAAACCACGTGGTGGTATAGTATACTACAGGCAAAGGTCTTCAAAAATAATTAATTTATGATGTAACACAAACAAAATTAGTTGACATGCCAAATTTAAAATTTAACTTTGGCGCATTCACCATTTTTTACAGTCAGACTTAAGTCTAGGAAATGTGATTTTTGTATGAGTTTTTGATTTATATTTACCACCTAAAATTGGCATTTTTAAGAATTTTGACTTTTCTTATGAATAAACAAAAAATATAAATAATTTTCATAATGTTATTTAGGAAACTATTGGGCCTTGATATTATATATTATACTATAGTATACACGTTTAATCAATAAAGATTTTTTCCATTTCATTTTACTAACATTCAATTATCAAAATTTAATGTGTGTTATTTATAAACAATAATAAATATTTCAATTATCTTGTTTAATAATTAGTCAAAAGCGTGGCCTAGTTTTTTATCGACAGCTTTTATTTTAATGATTGCACAACTCAAAAAACCAAAAACTTTACGTTGTCCTTGGGTTCATTTTATAATTTTTTTATTTATTATACTTACACCAAATTAAGAAAAATATCCACATTCTCTTTAAAGTTTGCTTTTGTAGAGGTGGTACTGTTAATTATAAAACTTGTCCGGTTTTGAAACTAATTGTTTTTTTCATACTTTCATATATGATGTAATTCAATAAAATAAAAAACAACCTTTCGGTTATTGCACAACAATAACAATAATTTTATTATTAGTGTCTAAAAAAAGTATGTTTTTAAAAATTATCCAAAATTTCACATAAATTTGATAACATGAAAACAAGCACACAAATATTTTTGTCAAATTGCTTAAGTTCTAAATAAGTATTTATTATTATTTACTATATACTTGATATTGTTTTGTTAAAGGTGATGAGTAACAAATAATATTTAAAATAAAGTATTTAATTATTGATTAACCAACTTCACTCAACGGATTAACAATGTATACCAACCCATTCATAATATCATCATTATATATAACTCTCTCTAAATGTTTTCTCATCCAGTCACTTCCTTCATGCTTGCGCTATTCGCCACTAGATGGCGCTAACCATCGTGTGATCTGAGTTGCATACCAGGTTTATTTCGAGTTCCCTTATTTTTTATCTCGTGTTGATTTGAAGGTTTTGAAAAAACGTTTAGATTTCAATTTGTGCGTAAGCAGGGATACGATTGGCTCCTCCTTTGCGTTTTCTAACTCCACCTAGTCCGCCCATCAATGATTGGGTTCTTAGTATATACTATATGGGCGTTCGACCAAGGATGATTTTTTGTCGGTTGAGCAAGAATTATTTTAATTTGTTGAGTTTTTAAAGGGTAATTATCTGTAATTGGGTGGGTCTCGAATGTAAAATATATTTTATGTAACCGCTTTGAAATTAAAAAAAAATATATTTTAATTGGACAATTATGTTAATTTTGGTTTGAATAATACCCAATAAACTTTTTCAAATTTAGAGGAAATGTTTGTTTAACCTAATTTCTAATAACCAAAATTTATTGTTAAATAACAAAAAATAAATTTAATATAAACATTTATAACGATTTAATATTATATTACATATCAAGTTTGATAAACGAAGCTTGCGAGCGAGTTTTTAATAAAATGAGTGTCTATAGAAATTAACGACACTTTTCTACGACAATTGAAAAATATTTTTTACTCATTAATTTAAATATTTGTATAGAGCGACATCTATACAAAAATAGAGATACAAAATTGGTGTTAGGAATCTGTTTTGCCATAAATATCGAAATCATTTGGCCTAACAGCAGTTTAAATGCAAAATAGAAGCAGTTTTTTCCAGTAAACTCCACCTGAAATTTGTAATGCTTTATTGGCAAAGAATTATTTAATAATTCGAACGCATTAAAAGAGGGGATACTTTGCAGAGGCTTCATGCATCATTTGCGTTTTGCATTTGCCAGACTACTTCGTAATAATTTATTGAATTTCTTAATTTACTACTAATTGAAAATGTTATTGGTCAAGCTTTTTATATTGCTTTTAGTTTCGCACGTATTTAAAAAAAAGTTTCTTATTTCCGAAAACATCTAATTAATTAACACATATTTTTACCTAAAAATAAATTTCTACCCAAAATACTTAAAAAATAAACATATTAAAATTACCAAACTAATAAACTTTTAACGCTAAATACACATAACAAAATTATGAGATTTCGTTTTACAACCCAACATAAAAATATTTATCATACCATTAAATTTTTGTCTGTCTCAAAATCAGCCGACGCTTGATTTGTACACCTATAGATACCTATATGTATATATATATATATATATATATATGTATATATTATAATACAAAAGGTACATCTAGGATTTACATTAATTTTTTAATTTCGTTAAGGTATCTAGGGGTTTTGATAAATTTATGGTTTTATTAAGATTTATTAAGGTATACCTATTTGTTAATATTAATATTAAACAAGCTAAAATTAAATCCTTCAGTGTTAGATGTGTTTTAACTTGGGAATAATAAATATTTTTTGACGGTTTAATTTATTAAGGGTTTATAAATAACAAATTGTTTTAAAACAATATTAGAAATAAAATCTATGTTACAGTTAATTTTTTTTGCTAGAGAATATCGAAAAAAAACTGTCTGGATTTTGGATATTGTAAAAAAAGTTA